AAAAAAAAAATAAAGGAATTGTAATAATTAGATAGCTAGCTGCAATCGAAGAGTTGCCACAATTAGAAGACATAATCTTCATCGGCCATATCAATTGCCCAGCGAAATTTCTCACGCTGCGTTTTGTTAAAAATTTTTTCTATCGGAACATCGTGCTTTCGACACCAAGCCACCGAGATTCTCGGATCCAGATAATTCAGTTTTGATGTACCAAGCGCGATTTGCTTGTTTTCATCCTGAAATTAACTACTGGCTTAAGACATATTTCTGCTGGGGATCCCTGATGAGCAAATTACAATTCAAACAAATTAAAATTTAGATTTTTTAACTTGTAATAAATTCAACCTGCGCTACTTCGAAATATTATAATCACCTTATCAGTTCTTTGAATTTGTAACTTCTTCAGCTGTGCTTTCAGTCGTTCAACACGTTTGGCCGCACGCTGTTTAGCAGTTTCTCCTTTCGCCTTTTTCAATTCTGCCTGCAAATAACGAATAATTCAGCAACAAATACTGAAAGCAACCGACGGAAAACAACTACCCTCCCACCTACCGAAAATCCGAGGTTTCTTCGCCGCGTTTTATACAAGCCGAAGACATTATACAACATCCTTTTGAAGATAAGTAGCGAGTTTATCCTCCGCAACAACCTACAGCAAAGGGCACGTCGAGAGATATAGACCGTTCCGCGGTGACGTCCCTCAACCAGCTGAAATTAACAGTCCCACCCGCAGGCGGATCCAGGACAGATTCCCGGAGGGGCGAGGGGAGGGCGGAGAGGGAGTGGGGCTCCTGGGGAGGGGGGCGACGGGGGAAGAGCGGGGAGGAGAGTCCCCTCCCACCCTGGAACCATGTAGTAACTAGGAAAAGAATTGCAAAACTGCTACTTAGAGTTGCTTTAGGCTTTAGTTTTAGCCTTAGATCCGGATTTTTGCACCACTGGTGAGTAAACCACTGGGGCGGGAACGGGGAAGGGGGAAGAAGAAGACTCACTGCCTCTACCTCCTCCCTCTCCTTCCCCCCCCCCCCCC